CTCGCCATCTTCATTGTTTTTCTGTAACTGTACACGAATCCAACTCTAACAGCAAATTTTGAAGAAATGATGTGTATCCTGTGCTACTGTTTGGTGAAGGGCGTTTCAGTTTTGATCTTTATCGGAGAAGAAGGTTAGATTAAAAGTTGAGCTTCTAATTTGAAAGAACTATGATGGTATTAAATCCATTATATTGCGTGATCCAATTGACCAAACAACTTCTTTAGATTAATTAATCTTTGTGAAAGTTATTGGTTAAAAAGAAAAAGTTAGTGTCACGAGCGGGATTCGAACCCACGACCTTCGGCTAAATACGCCGCTGCTCTACCACTTGAGCTATCGTTACTTCGATCCACTAGAACACCAACTTCCCATCTCAACGTACCTTTCGAATTTTCCCTCCTTTTTGTCATTTTACAAATGTCGTGTAATCAAGAGTAATTCTCAACGATTATAATGGTGTTATATATTTAGATGATATTATGATGGTCTGTCCATTCCCACTGGTTTTGTACATCGTGTGCTTTCTAGTATGAGTATCAAACGCGCTTAGGTTTGAAACCATCATTAGTGAGGAAATGGCTTTGTTTAATCCATGTAGGTTCTCATATACCGTGTGATTCGGTCCAATTAGGATCATTTAAATATGTTGGTCGTAGTCGACACTGAGTGTCGGTGAACACATGTTAAACTGAAAACACTTGACCACTTCACTAGGTCTGACCATTCTCGTTAGTTTTTGTAGCACCTTGCTTTGTGTATCAAACGCGTTTAAGTTTTATGCCATCATCAGAGAAGAACTACCCGTTTGGTAGTTCGTGTAGGTCCTAATATACCGCTTGATTCGATCTAGTCATTAATTCCACAAATCAATCAACTCCCTATTTATTGTTCAGAAACTAACTTACACCCTTCGATGTTGACCATATTTTTGGACATTTCACGTTAATATATTTGTTTCAGTAATAGTTTTGCACCTTTCATATTAGTTCCATGGCTATTTTCTTAGCAAAACCTGGTGTATCTCACGTTGTATACAAAAAATAAATTTTTAGTTATCAATATTGTTTATTGTTATATACACCTTCACTATTCTTGCCTGGTTTTATTAGGGGCGTACATAAAAGTTTACGTTGTTAAATGAGAATGCTATAATATTAATGTTTTTTCTCCGGTCTCGAATTCCTGAGAATAAACTCATACAAAACCTTCGTCTGAGTATATCACGTCCGGAGTAACACCTTATAATTTCTCTATTTGGAAATTAATTTAATAACAGTTATCAACAGCTTATATTCAATCAATTAGTTCTTTGCTGATTGTTGAAGCCGTAAATCGACCCCTTCGACTTCAAAATGAATGTAAATTAATTAACCTCGGCGAGTTGACGCCTTGGGCCGACAACTATTCTGCTTCCTTTCTAATATATTGTTATGTGTGTCATCGGGAGTTAACTGATTTTCCTTTAGAGAGTTTGTCGGTGCACGGCTGACCGGCAGCGAAGGGAGATTCAGCCCGTTGTTACCATTTTAAGAGTAACGAGTATCTACAGAGAGCCGCATTGAAATGTTTGCATTTAATTATCCTTACTTCTCTTGAAGATCTGCACTCGCACATTTCAGTCACGTCCCACACCGACAACAATGGCTGCTTTCCTTTCTCCTCTTGTAAACTGGAACCCATTGACATTCAGTTAATTGTTCTGAGCGCACAAATTCGGTAACGATAACAAAATTAATTAACAATAGTTTATTGTGGCACTTAGCAGACTATTTGTCTCCATTTGCGCAACCCCCATGAACCAGCTATTCTTCTTACATTAAAAAAGCCAAATATTGAAAATTAAGATTCTTAGAAGCTGTTCTAATAGACCAATATATCCAAATATATTATTAAAATAAATTTATCTTCCCTTTTTTAAAACATAATGCCTATAATCGATTCAACATATAATATCCACCTATCAGTTTCGTTTCACTTTTCCACACTTTTGAGTAGTTAATAGAAAACACGCAATTTATGAACGATTTTATTGTTAAGATAGGAGCACTCGACCGAGTGTGGTACCCTTTCTCCTTTTAAGTATTGTAAGCTCAAAAGTATCTTCCACCACATATATTATCTCGTCCTGAATCTTTCCTCTTGAAAATCGGCTCTGATTAATCACGCATCATGACAATAAATACTGGCGTTGCACAAGGAAGAACGCTAGTACCAATCATCGCCACTACTTACCTAGACGGTCCAATTTTAACACTCAACAACCTACGCGGACAGCACCTATTTCCGCCCTAGCAACAGAAGCAATCGAAGAATACTTTAGGCCTTGTTACCAACTTGCGCACTCGGTGGCAGATCAAGTAATAAGAGGAAAAATGCCAACGTGTGACATTGCACTCAAACATTAGGCCTTCCCACCAGTGTACCCTAACCTACCAGTATTCATAAACAAAAAGTAATCCACCCATCCAACCAAGTCCACTACCTTGGTTTTTATTTAGATACCGACTGGTACACTCGGTGGCAGATTTAGATAAACAAAAGATAATGTCATCATGCGGCTTTTACACTCGAACGTTAAACCTTCCCACTAGTGCACATAAACAACAAAGTAAACCTTGTTAAATTACGGGATTTACTTGGATAGTAGACTCACATACCTACATCAAGAACTAAAATTTTTTTTAAAACACAGATACTTTAAATGTGTTGCTGAAATTAACACTAAGAATACACAACAGTCTTACTACACATCCTCAATCTCTTCTCTCCACGATCACCAACCTGACAAGCAGTAAAGTAACTACCTAAAATCATTTAGGCGATTAATGTATAGTTTCGTTTTTTCCGATCTTTCCAGTCTGCCCATTCACGTTGGTTTGCAATGACGGACGGGTTTAATTACATTTCTAGATTATCTATATATTCCTTTTTTTATTTTACACACAACTACAGATGGCCGGAATCGTAATGACAAATTAAACAAGCAACGATATGGAAAAACAACTATGTGGTAAATGACCATATTGCAAGAGTTCTGAAGCGGAAATCTTGCCAGTGGTTTAATCATGATTAGCTGCAGAGATATATGTTTTATCCCTTCCCAGTGCTCTGAGGTACAGACGCTATGATCTTCCCACAAGTTCTCAAGATATAAACTAATAATCCCCAAGATATTTTATCAATTAGAAGATAGGAGGCATTATTTTGTTGAAAATAAAAAGTACAATCTGTAAACGTTAAAGTGGCCATCGATTTTTCTTTCAAATATAGAGAACAACACCTGTGCCATGATTCTGAGTAAAGGTTATGCAGTGATTTTATATGTAGATTAATGTTAATATAACTTTACAAAAACCATTTATAAATAAATTCTGTTTAATTTCATTCAATAGTTTTATCTTTTTCGTCTTTTTCTCGCCAAATTCCGCCATTTTTTAAAATACAATTTTGTATTTAAAGCCCAATTGTATCAAGCATTCTCAGCGCCGTTTGTCAAGAAAATATTTTCTCTAAATGTGCCATAATTGGTTTGAAATAATTTTTGGGTGGTTGACTGAAGTACAACACCAATATTATTATAACCCTCTTGGACTTCAGAATACGTGTTAAACCAGTCAACGCCTGACATATATTTAATATAAATTATTAATAAGTTAAGCTTGTACAAATTATTTGTTCAATCAGAAAATCCTTTAGAACCATATCGACCCATATCTCCTTATTAAAACATGAAAACTCTGACTACCGAGAAAAGTAAATTAAGATCAAATACAAATTTTCATCTTGCTGCATCCAATAAAGAAAAAATATTTATTTCTCCATCAGTGAAACGTGATGGATTTCTATTTGATTTTAAACCGTCAAATGTATGTCTTTGAGGTTATAACAGTTCAGGGTTTTTCAATGTTGGAAACATAACAAATGAAATATCTGGACGTTTTATTCTCGTCTCGATTTAAATTTGATTGCTTTTTTTTTGGTATTGATGTAACCAATTGTTTCTCAATGTTTTATTCTAAATCAACATCACTAGATGAAAGTAAAACAATTCAACAAATGGATTAAAAAAATAAAAATGTGTGTATGGCAAAATTAAAAAATAAATTTACCCGTTTAGTTGTGACATGGTGATTTATGCAAAATCAGCTTTAACAATTGACCTTTGTTTAAAAGATTGGTTGTTATGAAATTCATTGTTCCTCCGATCATAGCCCTATCAAAAAATCCGTTTGTACCTCTATCTTCCGTGTGGGAGCGGCGTGCAAGGTTCTGCTGTCCTTTCACGTTATAATGAACCACTTAAAAACGTCACGAGTTAAAATTGCGTCTTTTTTTAAATATTATTCTCCCCTAAATATAATATAATAAAGAGAGAGAGAGAGTAAAGTTAAAATTTAAAAGGATTCATGGTATCGTTTTAAAATTGTACTCGAAACATATGAAGAAAAAAGTGGCTACTGAAGGTACAATACAATTTCTGTTATTTTACTTTAGAAATTGAAAAGGAAATTATATTGCAAAAATTAAATTTAGCCCTTAACCACAATTATTTCTTATTATTCGTGAAATAAAGTTAAAATTGTATACGAAATAAAGAGAGGGCTTTGAACAAATGAAATAAGCTGTGGTCCTTCTGAAAATATTTCTTCGTGTAAAATCCATAAAGACAAACATCTGGTAGTTCTTATCAAGTAATTATTCAGAAATCGTGAGATGCGGTCTGGTGTGATGTAGGTGTCAGAAAAACATTTTCTTTATCGTGCCAACGTTTCGATCTTTATTGAGTTCATCTTCACGGCTCAAAGTGTTTGTCTTCTGTGTAATTGTGCCATTCTTGCGTGTCGTCACGACATATAAACAAGATAGGGTTTATTACGTTATATTTAATTGAAATAATTAACTTACTTTAATAGTTTCATACACGAATCTTTGCATTAGGTTGTAAAACTGTAATCATGTCTTAAATATTAACTCCTCGAATATTTTTTTTTTTGCAGTTGACTCCAGTGGGCACAACGGTTTTCCAAGGGCTGAAAGCCGTCGATATGGATGCTGGGGTGAACGGTCTGGTGGAATACCGTCTTGTGAAGGGTGACCCACCACAGGAAGAAAGGTTGCAGGTGGCGGACGGTGCGGACCACTTCGCGATCAACCTGCCTCACCAGGGACAGATCACCGTTAGCAAACCGCTTGACTACGAGAAAGTCCAACGATACCTTTTGACTGTCATCGCCACCGTAAGTACATACGTTTAAGAACATGGCTTGTCTCTCCGTATATATAGTTGAACGGAAAAATATTGCAATTTGATAGACTATTAAAAAAAAATCAATTATTACAAAAGGACTAGTTAGTAAACTGTAATGAAAGAGAATGAATATTAGAAACAGGAGATTGCAATTTAGACTGGAAGGGTTACCGGACGACGATGCAATAGCACCAAACCGATCGATTTCGTCCTAAGTGATATCAATTGTATTGGATTGAATTACCTATGGTTTTACCACTCCACTCTTCCAGCACATTCCGAAACCCTTTACTTTCTACGCATCCCTGACGTGAAAAAGTGCATTGATGAGTTCCCGTTAAAACGGCGTGCTGACGAAGGACCGAGAAGTTGATGATAATGTAGACGGGATTATGCTTCGTTTCATACTTCCGCTATCGGACTTTCACCAGACGGACAAATGTGTAAAACTTTTATCCCGATTCCTTTTAAGGAGGCTTTTGATATAATGAAATCGCTCGGGATCTAATGCTTCCAGCATTTTTCTTTAAAGAATTGACGAGAAATTTCTTGTTTATGTAGTTGATAGATCAAGCATCAAGAACTCTCGTAAAAACTGCTTCGACAAGGTACCTTGGATTATTCTAAGTAAAAAGAACTATGAATATATAAATATTTTCTGCTGAAGAGTTTTCAATAACAAATCTTCTAAATTTTATACATTGCTATGTCTCACGTTTTCATTAAATCGGATAAAAGGTATTTATACAGAATTTATTTAGCAAATACAACGATAAAATTGCATTATATCTAGTTAATAATTTATTTACAGTCGTTCGTGGAGATACTGCTAGCAACAATATAGACAATACCATAGCAGTACCCTCAGGGTGCCGGTGTTTTTGAAAAAAAAAAACCCTTTTGTAAGTCATTTGTAAGTATGTCGAGTTCGAATGCAGGGCCGCTGGATTCGAACCCGGGACTTTTACCGTACAGTGATGAGCGCCGTTTCAACGCCTAAACCGTTGCAGCCACCGACGCCCCCTAGTACGCTTATTCATTATCTTTTTTTATTTTTGTGAAGATATCTTATGGTGTGGTAAGCTTTCTTGAGAAATTTTTAAAAATTTCGTATTTAATTTTTTTTTTAATGTACCGTTAAGGAACATTTAAATGGCGAGTGGAATATTTTTTTACAACGGAATATGTATAGTCTGATTAGTAGGCATAGTGAGGTTCATTGTTCATTAGCGATGGTGCATCAGACTTTGGGCTGAAATATCCTACAGATCAAGACCTTTGTCCGTTATGACACTGGGTGTAACAAATGTTCAGCTTTTTGCCCCGACGAATTCCTTTACTCCTTTAAGTTCTAAATTAAAATGTTTGCATTTTGTTTTGGTCATACTATTTGATAGTATCCTGAGCTCAAATCATATGATAAGATGGCTCCCTAAGAGCGCTGTTAAAATAAATGTTTTTGACTTGGCCTCCAAGGATCCCTTACCTAGTGTTAGACAATTTCTTACATACAATAATGAAAAATAACTTTTAGCCATGTTTAAATACTGATGTAAAACTAACGAATATGACGATACGAAAGACATTGGGCTGAAATGTTTGGGTTCATTTTCGATTAATAACACCTTGTTCTAGTCCTACGTCCAGTTGGGATATTAATGACGTTGGATAAAGGAAATCTTCAGGACTATTCCCCAACGAATCCCTTTACCCCGTTAAATTATTAAGAATTTGAGCTGAAATTCGTTTTCATCAAACTGCTTGATATAATCTAGAGCTCAAGTGCTATGGCCGGATACTTTCCTTTATAACCTTGGTAAAAATGTCCCGGAATTTTACAAAAAAAAAAAATCCCTCACCTCCTTAGGATTTTAATATAGGACAAATACTTTTACCAAAGAATGAACAAATGACGCTCATGCAGAATAGTGGCGTAGAAAGTAGCAAAAGTGACAATGCGAAGGACACTGGGCTGGGATATTTGAGTCAGTTTAGGCTAGTACTAACCAATGGTAGGTACGAGGTACGCCGCAACAACTTCACCTACTCCTTTGGGAGGTTAAGTATTCTTTTACAATAGGGAATAATACAATAACGGGAAGTTGTGGAAGAGCTTAGTGTTGACCATTCAACCGTTGTTCGCCATCTAGAGGAAATTGGTAAAGTAAAGAAGCTCGAAAAGTAGGTACCGTACAAACTAACAAAAAAAAAAAAAAAAAATCGACGCTCTGAAATTTGCACTCTCTTCTGTTGCGCCACCTAAATTATCCATTTCTCGATTGAATCATCATGTGTGACAAGAAATGGATTCTGTACGATAACAGGAGGTATACAGGTCAGTGGCTGGACAAGAATGAAACGCCAAAACACACCCCGAAACCAAATCTGCACCCTAAAAAGGTTATGGTGACTTTTTGGTGGTGTCCTTCTGGGATCCTGGAGCTGTCCTTCTTCACAATAAGGTCGGACCGCATGTCGCAATGGCACCCTGTGGAAACTTAAGGACTTAAGATATTACCGCACCCTCCATATTCACCAGACCTCTTCCACTTTTTTAGGCGTTTTGATCACTTCTTGGAGGATAAAATTTAAACGCCTTCCAAGACTGTATTGTGAGTCGAAATAAAGATTTTTATGTTAGCCGAATAAGAGCGCTTATAACATGTTGGCGAAGATGTATAGATTTGAATAGAAAATATTTCAAATAAGTTTTCTGTTTTATAAAAATTAAAAATAATTTTGTCTGCCTTTTTAAAACCTGCATTATTTGTGTGTGGTGATTAGTGACCGTTAATCGATAATTATTCAGAAATCGTGAGATGCGGTCTGGTGTAATGTAGGCTTAACATAGTTTACATTTAACGAATACATTTAGAATGTGGAAAACTGAATTTATACAATGCAAAATATATTTGTTATATTCAATCAAAGTATTTCTACTCACTCCAAGTGTTTGTCTTCTGTGTAATTCTGCCGTGTCGTGTGCCAGTGAAATTTTGCTGTTTTATGTTTATATTTATCCCTTTCTATATAATACTGAAAGGATAATCTGGCCGAACCATTACCAACACATTGTTTTCCTTCGTCGGCTCTTTTCACCTCAAAAAGCCGACGCCTTATAGAAAAATGTCTTTTCTAGCATAGTATAAATTCATTTTTTTTGTGTGTTGAGAGAAGAACACAAGAATGACACATCTACCAGAAAACAAACACATTGAGTGAGTGCAAATACTTTGATTGAATATAAAAAATATATTTGCGCATTGTATAAATTCACTTTTCCACATCCTAAATGTATTTGTTCAATGTAAAACATGTTTGTAAATCCCAGGCCCTGAATATGATCTCAATAAAGATTGAAACGTTGGCACGATAAAGAAAATGTTTTTCTGAAACCTACATCACACCAGACCGCATCTCACGATTTCTGAATAATTACCTGCATTATTTTTGCACCAGCCCACTATATTAACTAACATTAAGTATGATGATATACCTTAACATTTCTGGTGGGAAGTAAACTAAATCGTGTAGTGAAATTAAGTTTTATGTCTGATCACAAGTTATGGACATTTGCCGATATCGCCGTCGGACAATTTTGGCGTTCTAACACAGGTGTGCGTTATTTAAAGTCCGTCAAAATGGCTATGCAATGCGTCGTCGTATAGCCAAGTGGTCTAAAAGCATTTACAAGCAATAAAACGATTTAACCGGCCATTAGGCCCTGGTAATACGTCAATTTTCATTTCTTTATTTTATTGTCACGGTTTTATTAGGTATAGAACAGGGTTTAATACGTGAAGAAGGTTAGTAATCAGAAAAGACTTTTATGTTTTAAAAGCCGGACCACGACCCTCGTAAATTCCTTGGTGGATATGCTTATTCGAAATTTAGTGAGATAGCTCATTTTATTGAAGTTGGTTTTTTCATTTTATTTGGAGTAAAAAATGCATGTTAGTTGAATAACAACTTTCTGAATACGCTGAAATATCGTATTGAATTTCCTTCCGCCCAAATCACTTTAACATATTATTTTTTGAACGTTTTAGTTGGACAGAAATAAAATGTTTCACCAATACTGATAAATCAATCACGTTCCTCCTTTTATTTCCTAAATCATTTGATTACGACATTCAAATGAACAATTAGTAATGTACAATATTTCCCTGCCTTCAATGTGGATGCCAATAATTAAATAAAGTTCCAGTGGTCTTCCTGATAAAGTCCTTGTTTTCACTTGTCCGAATAGAAACACACTCATATTTAGAAAGTTTAAATAATAACACTGTTGGTGTTTGGCAGTCAAGGTGATTAATCTCGATTTACAATCCTTTTGATTAAAAAAATATGATTAAGAAATCTGAAAAACGTGTGAGGACAGTCACGTCGCACAATTATCCGAGCCATACAATCTTAGAATGCATGCTGAACCGGGACTGGTTCACTTATTGGGTTTGTTTTTTGTTGATGATTTATTCAAACGAGTTTCGGGATGTCGTAATGAATAGTTTAACAAACCCGCGAGTCAATACTGTCCCAATGCCGGTTCAGCATGAGTTAACCGACTCACTCACCAGCATCAACTCTAATCTTAGAATGGCTACACCAATCTGGCCAAAACAACTTTTGTGCCAAAGACCTCTTAAGTATCCCGCTTGGAGAGGATGCTCGCTCGATGTGTTTCGCATAATCGAAGGTTGGCTCCTTACATAGAGCGAGATGGCCTGACATATGTCACGAAAACAGTTCTCGGACACGAAACGTGTTTTCCCTCAGAGTCACTGGGTCAAAGTCTCCCTGCTTTCCACTGCGACCTAAAAGATCTATTGTGAAATTTACCCTTCTTTGTTTCCAAGCCTCAAAAAGTACATGACCCTTATGATAGTTAGGACTTTCCAGGGTTTCTTTTCACTATTTTCTTTAGCAACAATAGCATCATTACCGACGGTGAAAGGGCAAGGGATGTTGAGTACATTACTTCTTCCTTAC